TGCTATGATGCCTTTCACTGGCACAAGTCATTTTTATTCTGTTGAGTGGTTTCATGACACCACTCACAGCATTAACCCCAAGTTAAGGTGTCCAGCATTCAATAGCATGCTTCACTGTGTGGTATTTCAATAATAGTGCTGAGGGGGTCAAGATACACCATGCACAGCATTATCTCCAATGATGGAGAAGGGAGCACATACAACACACACTGATCAATCTGCAAAAGAGCCTGGGATCACCCCAATCTGCAACCCCCCAACACACCCAAGGGCCCTTTGGACACCCACCACACCAAGTGAAATAGGAGACAACAATGACAGATTGGTATCTTTTAATTCTTTATTTAATAAAATAATAATAAGAGGTCAGCAGAAGCTTGGTTCATGTCAGGCTCTGCAACTACACCTGGTGCCGTAAAACATTCATTACACACAAATACCTGCAAATGGTAGCGACACTTGGTGGACAAGGAAGCTCACTCCACAAAAGTTATAGCAACACCTGATGGATAAAGGGGCTCACTACACGTCATTCAGTGACTTGCCATGTACACATGACATTAATAGCTGCACTGTTCCCAGTTGCGTCGTTGCAGACTAAATTACATTGGGGTGAGGGTTAGTTTGTGATGATGCAAACTCATTTAAATTGCCAAAAACTTGCGTATGTGTAGTGTGTAATGCCATTAGGCCACACAAAGGGAAATTTTCGTCACGTGTACATTGTCTGGGCATCATGTGTACAAGCACCCTTTGACATCAGTAAGATTAGTCATGGACTACAGTTACCATCCTTTGTGAGCGTGGGCCACCATGGTTTTACTTGAGACTAACTGGAATGAAAAATACCATATGTTCTGAGTACCACACACCTACAAATAAGACAGTTCCTTTGTTTAGGGAAGGCAGAATAAAGAAAAGATTTTTTTGAGAGTTGTGGCTGAACAAGGTTGCATGGAACAGGGATAGAATCTACTTTTCGGTCACTCGTTGCAAACTCTGCAGCACAAGCTTTAACCCCATCAGAGCTGCTTAATAGCCAAAAACTGCTGCCAATTGGGCAGCAGCTGTGATGGGGTTAAAGCGTGCACTGCGGAGTTTGCAGTGAGAGTGAGTGATGTGAGCGAACTGCCCCTCCTCCATGTGGGTGAGAAGGGAAGGGAATTCAGCACAACTTTCAGCAGCTGTTGCAGCACCCCAGTGCCTCCATTCTGACTAAGTTATGGAAATCAGCTTCCTCACTTAAAATACACACCCCAAATTAGGAGGGGTTAATTTGGCAGGTGGGGGAGAGGAAAATGCATGCGGTTTTATTGTGAGTGATTTGTGTTTCTAAGAGATTTTGCTTCCATTCAGAATTAAAGGATGGGCATGCACATTGAAATGTTCTTGGAACATAGGTTGTGCATCAGATGTTTATTTTTTACCATTACCTATTTAGCTGGTTTCCTAAAACAAAATGATAAAATGCACAGTTGCTTAAAATGTGCAGTTGCTTAAAATGTGCATGGCACTAGGCAATGTTGTGTTGGCAAGTAAAGTCAGTACAATAGAAAAATATTATAGCATTAGCTACAAACAGTTTTAAACAGACTATAAATAATGATTTAAAAGCAATTGACCTATTTCATGTTTTGCCTCCGATTCTTTTTTAGAGATTTATGGAGAATAGCAGCATAACTGCTTGTTACAATGAATTGATTCAACTAGAACATGGGGAAGTGCGGTCTCAATTCAAACTACGGTATGTAGAAGTACAGGACACTACAAACATAAAATATTGTAATTACAGAGTTCTTGATCCTATATCACTTTACCTTCTGACATCTCTCTGGTCAGTTATATACATCACATCTGTATTTTAACTTTACTGAAGGTGGTGAAAATAAGGAGTAATATTATTGTTTCAGTCAGACAGACCTAGAGTTTTATTATTCAGTACTCTGGGAATTATTTTTCTATGCTTCTGATTGACTATGGATTCCAGGTACAATATTTGGCATTTAGAGAAGTTGTCACAAATATTATCAATTCTTATATTTATGTTCCCTCCCATCTTAATATGACCTCTGATCCTGAATCTGAACTGCAAGCCAGCTATATCTTTAAGGCATCATTCTTAATGTTGGTCAGGATGAAATGTCAGTTTATAAATATATTATTCTAGTAGAAATAAAATAAGCAAATTATAAAATTCACTTGGGGGGGCAATTTCAGAGAAAGTACATCACAAATCAGAGTCTGCATTGTATATCATAAAACTCCAAGAAGGTAGTTTATTGTTCATCTGTTCTATTATCTTCTTACTGCCTGTGACATCCTGACATTTGAGATGGAGTGAAAACTACAGACCTCAAGATTTGTCTCTTTCTTCACTCTGATGAAACTTTCATCGACTTCAGTAAAGAGCTTTGTCATGGTAAAAAATTAAAAATTAGAGTTGTATTACATGATAGTTTTTCTTAATCATGTTTAGTTCTACATTTAACATACATGCCTTTGTATACACAAACATATTTTTGGTTATATTACATAAATAACACACTTTTAGAAAAAATATTCTTCAACAAATATCAAGGAGGAGTACTCTTCAGTGGTAAAACATGGAAAAAAATCATTTTTTTCTGTGAATTTGGGTTCTCTAAAGGTGTGCTCCAATACTTCTTTATTAACTGACCTGATCTTTTGCTTGAACCAGATGGAACAAAACTGGGCTATTTTACAGAGTCTGAATTATGTCCATATATTGTATGTTTTTTACAGCATTGTTTTCCCAAGGGGTGTTAAGATGACGTCTGAGCTTGCACAAACTTTTCCCATTTGCAAATTTATCATCATGTACACACATAATAACTTTGCACAGGGAAGCATGATTTGTATATATCATAAGTTATACATGCAAAATTGCCAGCAGTTTCAAATCATCTTTTAAAATTACACATTTGATTTCTGTTTAATTTCTAACCATGAATAGATGAAACATTTTGAATGAATAAAACGGTACAGAATAGAACAAGGTAAATGCCAGATAAAATTATTAAATTAATGTTTTTCAGCCAGCCACTGAGTGAAAAACTATCTACTTGGGTTATTTATCAATTGCATTATTGAATGAAGAATGTTTCAGTAGCCTTCCAGCAATTTCCTTTTACTATTGGTCAGGTGTTCACATGATTTTGGACCAAAGCTAGCTCTGGTGTAAGTACAGTAATAAGGAAACGTTCAGAAGTTACATTGTGTGCTTTCTAGTGGACCTGATTCCTGGGTGATGCTCCTGGTCTGTCAGTTACAACAACATTAAAAATCCACATTATCCAAAATTCAGTCTTTTACAAAGCAATTAATGTATGCTACCCACTGTATCAGTCATTTGTGTTAAGGGTAATGGGTACAGAGAAGAACAGGAATACTGTGGTTTATTAAAAGAAAAAAATTTTCAGATAACTAAAATGTAACTTCCAAGATTACCAGCTTCATACTTAGCAAACAGTGTTATAGTAGATTTTTATCATCTAGCCACGTGGAAAGTTACATTCATGCCAAGGACTGAAATACATGCAATTAACATACTTAATTCTTACCTGAGAAAAGTTACCTCTTTACTCTTTTTGTACCTTTTACCCATGGAATCTCCTGTCCACTAATGTTTGTCAGAAACATACAGAAATAAAGGAACAAAGGATTAAAAAAAAACCCAATAGGCATTGCTTACATGTCATCATATTGAACATGCCCTCACATTTCCTCGTCTGTTTTATTTTGTTTTCTTTTCCATTAATGGTGATACCCTCCTTGTTGAGAGTGCAAAACCAGGATGCTTTAATATGTCAAATGCTGTTCCCGAGTACAGAATGGTAATACAGCATGAACACATGCTGCATTAACAGTGTTAATTATCAATACAAAAAAAAAATTCCCGAATCTGGGAAATACGACTCATGTAGATTACCAGAGACATAGTTAGTCATGTTAGTCTGAAGTCACGCAGAAGCCAGGGTAGACTTGCATCTTTATAGAATAACTAAATCAGAAATGTATAGCATAAACCAGGGATGGGAATTATTTCGGCTGGAGGGCCACTTAATGAGTTTTGGTGAGCTGTTGAGGGCTACAAGGTACGCCTTTTGTCAAGTTGTTAAGCCCCTCCCCTTGACAGGAGCCCTGCCCCCTGGCCACCATCTTGGGACTGGAAGTCCCACCCCTAGCCCCATAGGGAAGTCCCTCTCTTTGCCTGAAAGGTACTCCTTTTGGGAGGGAGGTTTGCAGTCTTGGAACCAGAAGTCCCGCTCTGTCACACAGTCCGTGACATAAGAAGACTTGCCCACCCGACACCACATGCCACCTCCCTTGCTGCCATGTTGGTCCCAGAATCCCCGCCCCCTCATCACATCAGAAGGCCAAGTCACCTGCCCCCAAACCCTGCCCCCCTCACTGCCATGTTGGTTCCAAAATCCCCTGCTCCCATCACATGGTCCCTAGGCAGAAGCTTCCTCTTCCCAGCACCCCCTGCTTTGGGTCTGGGGGGCAGAACAGGCTGGGAAGTGGTGGTCAACTGCCTACCAACTGGGGCTGGAACCTACCACACAGAAGACAGAGAGAAGCCAGCTTTCAGAGGGGCAGTGGTGGTCCGGAGATAATTTTACTTCAGAGAAGCAGGCGCAGGCTGGATAGAATCTCTTGGTGGGACGGATACAGCCTTCAGGCCGTATTTTGTCCACCTCTGGCATAAGCTTTAAAATGAGCATAAGCCTATGCTATACATCTCTGATTTAATTAGTCTGTAAACATGCAAATCTACCCAGCCGTCATAAGGATTGCCACACTTCTCTGCAGGTTTATTTAAAATAGCCATCTGCTAATGAAGGTTTAAAGTCCACATAAAAATTGGAAACCAGTAGTGTCAGTCTCTAGATGTATTTAATCTACCTGATTTACTATATTTTTTCACCTAGATTGTTTAAAAAAACCGTAGTCATTTTCTTCAATTCATTTTCCTTGAACTAAATTACATAAAATCTGTCTACTTTAAGCTTTTTCTTCTTATTTACACATTAGCAATGTGCATCTTACTGTAGCATGTTGGAGTCCCTAGTTAGGCCATGTTGCCCTTGCAACTCCTGCTCTGATCTGGCCTGCTGGGTCCCTTTCCTTTTCCCTCTCCTACCATGCCTTGATGTATTGAGTTGATTGGTGAAAAGGGAGGCTGCCCTCAGGTCCCAGGTCAAGCCCTTGTCTGTCTTTTGGCCAGCAGGTCTCTCTCAGACTCTGCTGGTCCCAGTCCTGCCCCTCACACACTAAGTAGGCCCTCTTGGCCCACCTGTGCCCCCAGGGCACCCCAGGGCACCTATCATCTTAAGGGCTATTCATGACCTCCAGCTACCTCCATACTCACGCACATGACTCACATGTTATCAGTCAATCACTCTTATCAGCCCTGGTTAGACCTCTGCCCTCGTTGGGGCCTTAGCCTTCCTGGCCTCCACCCCTTTCTTCTGGCTGGGCTCCTTAGCTCAGGCCCACTGCACCAGACTTGGCTTCTTGGGCACTGGGACTGTTGGCCCTCCCATACTAGGCTTCTGCTGTCCTTTGGCTTAAGCCTACTCTGCTTCCTGAGCCCAACCCCCTGCAAGGGCTCAAAACACCAGTGTACCCCTGGCACCCCACTGTGGGTTAACTGGAATGTACCTCTTGAGTGCCCCGCTGGGGCCTTCTCACATGCCCCTACAGCCACATCCAAACCACCAGTCTGAACTTTAAACTGAAATACAAGCACCCAGGTTATAACTAAGCCATTCCCATACTGGATTTAAACATAAACAATTCACCACAGAGCTCTTCCCCATACAGGGGCATACTTTCCCAATGGCTCTAAGCACCTTACTGGCAGTCCCAGGGCAGCTAATGTGTCAGCCAGGTACTCCTCTCTGGCCTTCCCAGACAAGAGCTCTTCTCCCTGCTGCCTGCAAAGCCACACTGACTGCCTGGGCTCAGGCCCTGGCTTTATGTACCTCCTGTGCCCTGCCCCTTTCTGTCAGGTATCTCTCTAGCCACCTATAGGGATTTCCATTCTAGGCCTGCTGACCAGGCTGCTATCAGGGCAGTTTACTGCTGCTACCCTTGCTGCCTTAGCAATGTCCCTACTGCTCATGTGGGGCTCGGCAGCCGACCCCACAATAGGCACTCTCAGCCTATGAGTCCCTGGTTGCCTATTCCTATACATATTGTGTAGTCTGCCCCCCAGCACCTTGTGATGTTCCTGCTGCTGTCTCTACCCTCAAGTAAGCAGAGCCTCTGGCTTTGTTACATTTACCACCATCTTTCACATAACCTCTGAATTTTAACACACATTTTTAAGCCCACAATTATACAACTAGCTTTTGTCACTCATAGTAACGTATTTCTCAGAAGGAAGGATTTTTCCCAGCAGGCTAGTGTTTTGAATGAGTTTGGCATAAAATTCTAAATAAGTAACACCATCAAACTGTGTTATGAGTGTTAGTGTTCATGCTTAGTTGACTTTTTTTCTGTTTTCTTCAAATACGTTTCATCAAAGTATAGTAGGGTTGCAGTCTTGTTGTAGCTGTAATAGTCCAGGCTATATGAGAAGCAAGGTTTTAATGGGAATATCTTTTATTGGACTAGCTGTATAGCTGGGAGAGCTCATTAGACAAACTTTCAGAAACAAAGCACACTTCTTCAAATTGGACGTTAATTCTACTGGACTACTTGTTTCTGGTGAATGCTCAAAAATTATGCATTTTTTTAAAAAGTTGATTAAGAGTGAGGGCCTTTCAGGTGGGAATTTCTGGCTTTGCTAGTTTGGGCTGCAATTTAAATTATTCACATCCAATATTGTGGTCTGAATAATAGTATTTGCATAATATTCCTATTTATTCTCTTGAAAGATAATCATTTTGTGTCATTTTTTTAGAGACCAACTCTTTTTGAGCTACGTTAGTTGATATGAGACAGAATCATATTATGATGCTACTTTGGTTACTAGGGAATCCACTGTAAAACGACAATTGAGTAGGGAAGACTTTTGTTGAGTTCATTAGACCATTTGTATAGAGTTGGCATGACATACATGCGTATATGTTTCAGTCAATCATAGATAAGAGTAGTAGTAGTAGTTTGTCAAAGAAGACCAAATAAGTTTCTTTTAGTATAGACCACACGTTACAATAAACCTAGTTTTTCCTGTAAATAGCTACTGGCTGAATTGAGCTTTGGCTCAATTTCACATTCTATATATGTTATCATGTAAGGTAATCCATATTCCCTTTTTAGGAAAAACTGGGATTTTCTCTCTATGTTACTTCAAGGTGTGCTGAAGAGACAGAAAACTGACATAAATATTTACTGGAAGTAATAAGGACTAGGACATGCAAAAATCAAGCTGTCAGAAAGAATTTGTTGACTAGAACTTTGAAATAGCTATATAGTCTCCTCTGTTGACGTTGATCAATAGCCTATGTGGGTAATGAAGTCTTCTCTAATATACTGGTATTTTTATATGTATCAACTACAGTGATTATTGTACTCACTAGTCTTTTAATGATCACTACACTTTAATCTTGATGTAAGAGCCTGTAGTAATTAGTTGACTTTTAGTTGTTTGCTGTGGAAAGTAAGTTTGAGGGGGGTGGGGGGGAGAAGAAACCTACTATTAGAAAGGTGTAATATCCAAGATAAATTTTACAATGTAAATAACAGTAACAATTATTAAGTCTCAGAAACGTATGAAAACTGAATTTCCTGAGATAATGTTTATAGTAGAAAGAGTTGCATGGTTTTGTCAAAAGAGATTTTTAACACGAATCATCTACTAATAAGCATCAAGTAACCCCATATTATAGTCAGCAATGGAAAGTATAGTAGTAAAACTAATGTGAAACATTTGCTAATTGCAGGGCTTGTAATTCAGTATTTACAGCACTAGACCAGTGTCAGGAAGCTATAGAAATAACCAGCGAAGATCATGTTATTCAGGTATGGAAAAGATCATTTATTTGAATATCTGGGGGGGAACACTATTCACTACTCTTTACTTTCCTTGCATCAGTTTCATTGATCATTGGAAAGGTTGAACAATGAAACCACATAGAATGACCTGCTTGTTTTTGTATTTTGCGTGTTAGCATTGGTTGCATTTTAAGGCCTTCCATTCGCTGACCCTGCAGAAATTTGATTTAAGTCATCCCCAGGATTTTTAGTTATGTTTTTATTTTTAAATACAAAGCTGAGAAAGGAAAAGCAGATCTGAAAAAATACTACTCAAGGAGTACATTTACAGTCTGTCCAGTGTTGAGGCAATAAGAGAACAAGATGTCCTTGAGAGTCAAGTACTCCTTTTTTACCTTAACAAAAAATGTATAAGTATTTTTTGTTGTTGTCCAGTCAAATGCTCTGTGCAACTATTTTCCACTCACGTGGCACTTGATATTAGAAGCATGAGGATGGGGCACACCAATAAACAAGAGCCTAGTAATGGCTTCAGGCTGAGACAGACAGTACCTGAATGATTGACAAGACATATTTTTTTCTTTTTCCTATGGGTTCTCCCTTTTGCTGTCTTGCCTCATGACACTTCGATGAGTATTCTTGTTGTTATAGCTAACAGGGCAAATCGACATGTGAAATTTTTATGTGATACACTACAAGCACCAGAAACATGCCAGTATACTATTGTTGTGCAATTTGTAATTTGATCAGTAGCACCAGCACTCAATTTGCTATTTTCACAGGAAATAGCACTGACCACCTACTCACTGCCCTTTATGCAGATCACAGCAAATATGACCAAAAAAAAATAAAAAGTTGAAGACGTTCTTTGAAGTAAAAAAGCACAGATTTGCGTAAGCAGTAGTCATAAGCTTTTTTTGCTTTATGAAAACTTTCATGAGTGTTTAAATTTGTTTGCTTGTAAGAATCTACACATAGCAAAAATATGTGAAATCAGTAGCATAACTTGATGTAGGTGATCCTAAGGGTGGTGCCTGGAAGGGGATAGGATAGGACGAGAGAGAGAGGGCAGACCCCCAGGGCCTCTCACTACAACCTACCTTGCTGCTGCCTGCCTATTCCGTTGCCTCGCTCTGCTGGCACTTTCGGGCTCCATGAAGCTGTGGGCACAGGCAGTGGGCGTCATAGGGTGCAAGGCATTCTGAAACATGCAGTTTTAGAGAGCACCAATGGAGTTTCCTGCTACTGCCAAATTCAGCTTCTTTTTTTGCCCTCTACGCATGTACTCCAATGGCTCTCTGCTTTGTTCCTATGCCTGCAATCTGAAGGGGGAAGGAGGGTGTGGAAGGGTAAAAGACAGTTGCATAGGGCACATTTTTTCCACGCTATGCCTCTGTCTCAAATGGTCACTTGTATTTACTTGAAAGTTACACAGTCTTTTTCATGGGTATCTTGAAACTTTTGTTTTCCTTTCTATTTCTACTTGCATATATATTTCTGTCATCCAAACAGGAAAGAGGTTACTGTGCACTTAAAGTGACTAGTCCCATTCCATATCCAGTGAAACTCACCCATTTTGAAAAAGACAGTGTGGGGCCTAGGTAATACTTAAACCTCACCTATTTTGACATCTTAAGTTAGATTTTAGGGGTACCATGGGCTTTGACCTGGCCTTCTGCATAGGTCTGAATTTCACCTCTGGGAGAAAATGGAAAGCACAGCTGATGGGAATACTTAATAACAGTAAATATGCCCAGAGGCCTAAAATATATAGTGTTGGAAAAAATATAGATAGCAAGCTTTTGTTAAAAAAAAAACACATGAAAGAAAAATGAGAAGGGGGAGGGAATTCTGTTTATGGATAACTGGCGAACAGGTAAAGTGGTTAAATTTGCCAAACCTATTACTTGCTATGAATAGATCACTCAGCCTTGATTATAGTGTATTGAATAATAAGAAGAGAGGTTGAGTGTGGGTGTTTTTTAATTAAAGATCTCAGGCCAAATTCTGCACTGGTGTACGACCTATATAATCCCTTGATTTATTTCTGCTTCTTCACACATCATCCATGTGTTAGAACCCATCCAGAATCCTACAGACTTTCAATGGGAGCAAGGTCAGGCCTTGACGAAAAATGCTTGCTCTGGTAAGAAGCAAACTGTGGGCTATACTACGTGCATTTTTATAACAGAAATAGCTGTTGGTATAATGCATGGTACAACACTTTGTTTTATTATCAAAATGTTTTGACATTTATGTATTTTGCGTAAATGCTTTCCTATTTCTCATCTTTAACTAAAATCAAAGAACTTCTTTTGACAGTATGTCAATCCAGCCTTTGAACGCATGATGGGGTATCACAAGGGAGAGCTTATAGGAAAAGAACTTACTGAACTACCAAAAAGTGATAAAAACCGTGCAGACCTTTTAGATACAATCAACACATGTATCAAAAAAGGGAAGGTAGGTAAATAAGGATAAAGTTGAACAAAACTCATTTATATTTCTATACTGCCTTGTTTAGATTTTATTAGAATTGAAAATGCCACGTCTCAGCTCTGCTCATAAATCACAAATGTATATGCAAGCAGGTTAGGGTGGCACCTTATAGGTTAGCTTTTGTCTACACTGGGCAACTGAATGAATTAAATTAGTCTCTAAGGTATCCCCCTACCCTACCTTCTGCTTCACTTCAGATTAACATGCTCAACTACTTCTCTCACAAATGTTTAGTCAGAACTCAGTCCCCTTTGGGGGATATTTGGCCACAACGGACCATGATACCCATATCCATACCCCACGTGGCCTGAGGGCATGGCTGGGATCCCCTGTGCTAGTTAGCAGAGCCAGGTGCTATATGGACAGTCAGCTGACCTCCAGATCAGGAAGCAAGGGTGTTGTAAGGTGCTTTTAAAAAAGCTTTCCTTGCTCTCCACCTCCAATTTGCACCAACTACCATTGGGTCACAACCTGAGGTATAATCTGGGATGTAATCTTTATTACACCATTTAAAGTGCTTATCTGTCTGGATATCAAAATGACCCATTCCAGATTGCCATATTCCAAAAGAAAGCTTGTCTACATGTGTTAGAAATGGCTTCTCTTGTTCAGTTTAGCCTATTGATAGCCAATCTGAATGACAACATTGAATTTAAAAAATCTTGCATTTTTTTTTCATGGAAGCAGCTGACCCCAACCTAACCTGCATGCACTGTAGTCAGTGGAAATTTTGCTCTTCATACAGTGAAGTAGATTCAGATCCACCTTTGATGCTACCTCATTGCTCCCTCTACACAGACTTCTTCCCAAAAGGACTTGGTGTTTAACCCGTGACTTCCTACATCTGTTCCAGAGGATACCCAACATCAGTGTTGTGTGAAGCCCTTAACCTTTACTGATCTGCATGCAATGAGGATGTAATTACAGGGCTGAAAAATCTGGGTTTTTTGTGTTCCAGTTTCACTCATCCATACTGGTAAAAGTGTAGGTGAGAAATAAAGCTAAAGGCTTAAGGAGACTGCTTAAGATCAGAAGTAGCTGGCAAACCTCACAATGTGCAGTATTACTAACCTCAAGTGCTCAAGAGAAATTATAGGAATTCTGGACTCTTAAAGAAAATGCATGGCTGACTTCCCTATCAGATAATTATAGAAAATATCCATTAAACATGGTATTCTGAAATACTCTGTCAGAATACAGCCATACTTTTAAAATCAAAATGTAATGAAATCTAATTTAAAATATACTTAGAAGTTCTCATTACATTTGTTTAGGAATGGCAAGGGATTTATTACGCAAGAAGGAAATCAGGAGACAGTATTCAACAACATGTAAAGATAACACCTGTGATTGGTCAAGGAGGGTAAGTAGTTTACCCAAAAAGCAAGCTTTAGTTTGTTTTCACAATATGTGAATGAGACTGTTTTGCATACCTGAGACTTTAGTATGGAAACCCTTGTGTGCTCAATACGTGGATAAATGTTGATTAGACTGTTGCTTATTCTTTGTAAGCTACCTAGAGGGTTAGTAGCATTATCAAAGTTAAATGACAGGGCACCAAATTCTAGGCTGATGAACATCTATTACAGCCCCACTGAAATTAATGCAGCTGTGTGGTTGTGGACAAGGACTCAGATTTTAGCAAAAGACCCATGTTTAAAATTGTAGGAGAGGAGTCAAATAGCAATAATAATAAATTGTTAGAATATCACTAAGAAGCCTGCAGATGAATGTTTAGTGGCATGGTACTATCAAAAGATTAATAAAGCACCTTCTTAAATATAATTTTAAGAAAGATTTGCCCTAGTATCCAAACTGTAAGTAAACCATTCAGGCAGGCTGACCCTTTAGGTGAAGGCTTTCTTTTCTTGTTCATGAGCATGCTTTGCTGTCCTTGCAGTTACACACGCATGGCCAAGTTCTACTCTCAGGTATGCAAATGAACCTCCCACAGAGGTATACAAAACAAGTTACCAAGGACAGAACTTGGCCATGAAATAAAAAGAGTGCTCTTCACCTGGTAATCTGTTTTATGCTTTGATTTTTGTGTCTGGTTTCATGTGATCACCACGGTCTCTGCTTTAAACAGGGAGAGGAATGTGTTAATTTAAGCGTGCCACTTTGTGTCTGTCTTAATAATTTCATGGAGTAACAATCTGTTATTTATATTTCTAGGAAAATTAGACATTTTGTGTCTATCAAGAAGCTGTGTTATACCAATGAAAACAATAAGCAGGTATTTGTAGTACTTTTTGCTACTTTTCTATTTATGACCAATCTATTAATTTCTAAAACAAAATTATAAAATGGTCAAATCCTCTTGAAAAATGCTGCAGGTAGTATGCTCTGACTGGAGCAGGGAAGGCAGTCAGGCTCATGTTTCTCTGGTAGGTAAGTATGTCCATCCAGGACATGATTTCATGGAGCAAGTCTTGAGGACACATGCTAGAACCCTTCCTGCTGCCCCTCTGAATGGAAGCTGTTTGTATCATGCCAACATTAATGCATGCCTTCTCTACCCTGCAGTCTTCAGAATGTCACATATGTGCTGACAAGTTAATTAACAACCTCTAGACCTATTCTATAGTTGGTAAATTTATCATGTTCAAGAACACAGAAACAAATCTGTTCTAACCGCCACAATGTTAAATATACTTTTCCCTTTAATGTGGATAAAGATATTTGTGCTTAAAAAGTGTTAGCCAGTTATTTTTAATTCTATGGACTTATTATTGTAATATATCTTCTGCATGCATGGGGCAACTTCTACTTTTGGATGAAATGGACATATAGGGCATGTCCCCACGAGCCAGAATGTGCATTCCCCAGGGACAACTAGCAGCGGCACATAGTTGTCCCTGGGGAACGCCTCTGCACATGTACACATTGGTGTGTGGCAGATTGCCCCAGGTGGGCTAGGGGAGGCTGGGAACAGCACCTGGGCTGGTCCCAGCAGCCTGTCCTGGGGGCCTCCTGGGGCTCTAGCAACAGTGATCAGGATACGTGGAGCCTGCCACTACATGCACATCTTTTTTCTGGCGCAGGTTTTTTTGACACTGGGATCTCCTGGTATCAAAAAGCTCACTGCACTGCAAATTAGCAGCGTGGCAAATGCCTGCATATGCAGTACATATGGTTTGTGGTGCCGCACACAGGTGCCACATGCTAGACAGGCCACACTAGACAAGCCACAGGCCCCTGGACCACCTTTATAGATTCTGTCCTGCTCTGCTCTGTATGGGCACCCCCCACCCAGCTGCTGCCCCATGTGGGAATGATCTCTCCCTCTGCATGGCCCCAATTCCTCCCACCCCAACCCTATGCTCATCCTAGCCTCATCCTTAGTTCCCCACACTACACAGCACTGCCCCACTCTTTTGCATGAGGGTAGGAAGCAGCAGCCAGGGAAGGGAGAAAGAGCTCAGAGGCTTCAGATCGTATTGCCACTAGAGTGATGGGGAGGAGCAGTGGGAGCAGAGACTCAATCAGAGTCCAGGGGCTGCAACTTAATATCTCATGGGCTCCGTGTGGCCTGTCAGCTGCCAACTGGGCAATCCTTTCATAGATTCATAGATTGTAAGAGGCTGGAGGGGACCTCGCAAGATCATCAGGTCCAGCCCTTCTGCATTAGGCAGGAAAGACAGCTGGGATCAGGTGACCCCAGCAAGGTGACTGTCCAGTCTCCTCTTGAAGATTTCCAGGGCAGGTGATTGAACCACCTCTGGAGGGAGTTTATTCTGCAGTCTGGACACCCTAACTGTGAAGAAGTTTTTCCTAGAGTTAAACCTGAAACAGTCTTCCAGGAGTTTGTGGCCATTACTCCTGGTTTTCCCCAAGGGTGCCCTGGTGCACAGTTGTTCACTGAGCCCTTGATGTGTTCCCCTGATATAGTGGTAAGCTGCTACCAAGCCCCTCTCAGCCTTCTATTTTTTAGGCTGAAGAGGCCCAAGTCCCTCAGCCTTTCCTCATATGGCTTGCCTTGCAGGTCTCTGGTCATACAGGTGGCTTTTCTCTGGACTCTCTCAAGCTTTTCCACATCCTTGTGGAAGTGTAGTGCTCAGAACTGAATGCAGTACTCCAACTGTAGTCTCACCAACGCTGAGTAAAGCAGAAGAATCATTTCCTTGGTTTTGCTTGAGATGCATCGGTTGATGCATGTCAGAGTATTGTTTGCCCTGCTGGCTACAGCATCGCACTGACGGCTTATGTTCATACTGTGGTCTATTATTTCCCCTACGTCCCTTTCAGTTGTGGTGCTTGTCAAATTGGCGCCACTGAGCCTGTAAGTATGTTGGGGATTGTTCATTGCCAGATGGAGCACTTTACACTTCTCAAAGTTGAACTTCATCTGGTTCTGATCCGCCCATCTTGCCAGCCTGTCTAGGTCAGCCTGTTTCTACAGCCTATCTTCCAATGTGACCACACTCCCCCATACCTTGGTGTCATCTGCGAACTTGGCCAGTGAGCTCTTCACCCCCACATCCAAATCATTGATAAAGATATTGAAAAGCACTGGACCAAGCACAGACCCCTGAGGGACACCACTGGCCACTTCTCTCCAGGATGGCACAGATCCGTTCATGAGAACTCTCTGGGTCCTAACCCGCATCCAGCTTCCTACCCACCTAACTCGCAAGCAGATAAGCCCTCAAACCTCCAATTTTCCCATGAGAACATCATGGGATACGAGATCCCATGGATGAGTGAAGGCCTTTTGGAAGTCTAGGTATACAATGTTGACCTACTGTCTCTTATCCAAGTGGCCAGTTACTTCGTCATAAAAGGGGATTGGTAAGACAAGACCTGCCAACAGCAGAGCCATGCTGGCTGTCATTCAGAATCCTACCTTTTGCAAGCGAATTGCACATAGACTCCTTGATTAATTTTTCCAGGATTTTCCCTGGGATAGAAGTCAGGCTAATTGGCCTATAGTTGCCCAGGTCCTCTGTCCTCCCCGTCTTGAAGATGGGTACAACATTGATCCTCTTCCAGCCTTCAGGGACCTCCCCCGAGTGCCACGAGTTAACCCAGTGTTGTGGGCCAGTGAGTTTTTAAACATTGTTGCTTGTGCAGATCAAAATTATACTTTAAAATCACATTAGTTTAGAAGGGTTAAGTCCTTAGAGATACATTTTGCTAATAGATAGCAATACCACCATTGCATATATTTTTAATTCTTCGTTCATTTGTAAACAAAGCAAAAGCCTAATAGTGCCTTGTTTGCAACTTATTTGATATAGGTGTTAAAGTGGAGTGCTGCAGATGAAGATTTTTTAAAATAAATTATATACGCAGATAATAAGTAGAATGCATACAAGAAAGTAAAGATGCGCAGAAAAATAAAGCTATCTGCATAAAGAAGTAGTAAAGGGCACAAATTAAACGTGGCTTTTACAGTTTACCTTTGCTTTTTCTGTAATTTTCAATTTCTGTCATTTGGGAATGTGTCTTTATGTATTAAATTCATACAGTTCTAGTAACAATAAGTTGAGAGATAACTTTGACATTGCAGATTTGCACCCTCTGGTGGCAAAGATTGGTTCAAACAAAAAGAAGCTGAGACCCTGTGTAGGCTGCTGTAAACTCTCATTTCTTGAGCAATTATTGTGCAAACTTCAAAGCCAGCAGCAGCTTCTTGACAATTAAAACTAAGTCTTCTACAGAATTAAATGGAAATAAAAATGTGCAATTAGAATGGCATCTCCTGTTGTTCTTGTTGTTTTGCACGCCCTATCACAGCCTCTGATGAAGTGAGCTACAGCTCATAAAAGCATTTGCTATATATCTACATTGGTTAGTATATAAGGTGCAAATCTATCTTTTTTATTTGTTATTGCCACACTTGTAACTTTTTATTGCCTCACTTGTAATTTTCAACACGGTGCAGGTTTTTCCTCTGAATCACATAACCGCAGTATAGAAGTTGTCAGAGAGAACGGCAGGTTTCTGGAACTGTGGCAATTTGGGCTTTCTGTATCTGAGATATGATTAGCAGATTAAGAGAACTCTGTCCGTGATTAGGAGTGAAATAATTAACAGTGGTTGTGTCTGTGCTTGGGATGTTTTTCACTGGTGTGAAATGTGCTCTTCTGATGTAAAGTAGAACTTTGCAGAGGCATAAAATGGTTGTACACTGAAGAAAAATCCAAGTCCAGCATCAGCCCTTAAATTGGTTTCAGAACTGAAAGCACATTGAGATATATTAAGGCACCAACACAATAGCATAACAAACAGAGCCGGTGCCCAGGGCAAACCCTGCAAGGTGGGAGGACTGGTGCATGGTTCCAAAACCAAGGGTCCTGCACAATCTGAGAGCAGGGGGGCTGGGTTCCAGGGCAGGGCAGGGGGCAGCTGCCTCATCCATATTGGGACTCCTACACAGTTTATTCTCTTATAGGATAATTCATCATTCTTCCAATTCCTTATCAATGCAGCTTTTTGCCTTTTCCCCTGCCAGTAATTAGTCACTACCAGATAATTAGCTGTAACTTGCATTTCTCTTTCAGTGGCAAATTAATCAGTTAACTGAAGCGATGGTATTTCTCAAATGCCACCCAAGTGTGGCCTCAGAACAAACAAAACTTCTGTAACCCAACCTCTCCTATCTTACTTGAGAGATGGAATTGTAAGGATTCTTATTTTAAGGATTCTTATATTATATTAAAGAACATCTCTATTAACATTTTGCTAAAATGTCTGAGGCAGTTTATTCCTTAGCAAAAGTTTTCCTGTCTCTGCAATCAGACTTCTCTCTCTGCAGTGATTAAGTTTGTTTTACCTTGGTGATGTTTTTGTTTTACTTTCTGTTGACTTATTTACTCACTCACATGAAAGATATTATAGAGAATAAATTAGCTAGGTTTGGTCTGGCATATGGTCAGCTGTAACCGTCTGAATCCTGACAGTGTTGCTGCTAGAATGTCAGATGGTAAAGGGACAGGATTTAGTGGTGGTGGTTATAGGCAAGATAGCACCTGTTTAGAAAGGGCTTGCTAGTGTTACTGTCTTTTGAGGCAGCAGTAGTATACACTGTGTAATGCAGTACTTGCAAATCTTCCTGAGTCATTTTGGTCTGTGCAGACGTGTCTCTGGGAATCTCACTTAGCTCATAAGGCTGGGATCCCCATTCCCACCAACATGTCTCACTCTAATATTGGTAGATATTGCCTGATGACAAGAGCCCTAAATTAACCTAGATTCTTCCTTGATCACTGGTAGGATAAAAGTAAACACACTGCATAGACATGCTGGGAGTGTTTAATTTTTTTTAAAAATACATGGGCCAATATAGTGATCCAATTACAAAAAATGTACTTACAGAGTCCAGATGAAATTAGAAATTGGCTGGACTAGATTCTCATGTCTGTTACTCCCACTTTACACAGATGGAAGGATCAGAATCTGATGTAACTCCATTGAAGTAGTTTTTATTCACTAATATATTAATTGGTGTATTGTGTGTGTATAATTCATGCTCTTAAGATGCAATGGTCTTTTATTGCTGAGGGAGTTGTGGATGAACTGTGGGTCTTTTAATTATGAAAAATAATGAGTCACCCATTGTTAGGAGGATAATGCTTTGTAATATAAAACTCTTAATTAGTTCTGGATTTACTGCATTTTCTTACATATAAGATGCTCTGGAATATAATACACACCTTGTTTTTGAAAGGCAGCATGAAGAAAAAGATCTTTCCTCATGAAAAGTAACTGATCAGTAGCAGCAGCTCCCAACCCTGCTACTAGCCCTACATGCTGGATGGGGCCAGCAGACCAGCCCTGCACCCTGGGTCCAGAGCTAGCCACTGACACCATGTGCTAGCCCAATCTAGTATGCAAAGCCATGTCATGTGGCTGGGGGGCTCTCCATGGGTCCAAAATATTGTCAGCAGGGAGCAGTGGCAGTGTTAATTGCCATTACTCCCAGTGTTGCAGCAATTAATGCTTCCATTTCCCTCCCAGCACCGAATTTGCAAACCTGTGGGCAGCCCCATGGGCCAAATGGCTTGACCCCACAGGCCAGATGTGGCCAGCAGGCCATACTCTGAGTACTGCTGCAGTACGTGTTAGAACCTGCTTTTACTGTGTTTCACACATAAAATACATACTCTAATTACTTCCAGCTGGTTTTTGGGAAAAAGCTGTATCATATGTGATAAAATACAGTTTACCAAATATATAACTAGCTGAATAAAGAAGAGCACGATACTTTTTAAAGTTAAGATTTTATGTGACGGGTTAAAAAGGAATTGATTAAATTATTTGTAGTTATGGGACAGTAAAAGCTGCCATGATCTGAATTTTGTTCAAAGTCTCTACTTCATGGGGCCTATGAAACTCTAAAACTGCTTGGATTCAACACCTGCCAATCTTATACACAGACACAAAAGTTTCCCTCCTTGAATTCTCATGCATTGGCCACTCTTTCTTTTTTATCAGTGTGAGAATAAAGCATTGATGTCTTTGTCTCCATCAGAGGTGTCATTGTATAAAGAATTCTACATGGTGATTTCTAATGTACAGGTTTCTGTGCCAGACTCATAATGTAGCAAGAAGTTATATGTTACAGATTTGTGCCTAAGAAATTGTACTTTTTTTTCTTTTTCTTTTTTTTTTGGGGGGGGAGAACAAGATTATAGTGAAGTTTATATTAAGAAAAGGTTTCTAAGTGGAAACTTACTTTCATAAAACTATTATATGTGCCTAATTTTAAGCACAAATTTAATGCATTCTGATGGAGACAAAGACATGAATCCTTCTTATAATTGGGGAGAGGTTTAAACCCCCACCCTGCCTGCAGGGATCCCAGCTGGGGTCTGCCTAGGGGGCATGGGGGGGAAAGCAGCCCTTGCCAGGCTTTGGTGGCAGGGGGAAACGTGGCCAGACCCCAGTTGATTTACTAAGAAATAGGACTTAGAACTAATATAAAAAGAAAATCCATTCTTTTATAGTTAAGGAAACTAAACAGGAAGCACTAAAACATAAGACATGCCACACTGGAGTGGACCACAAATCCATAAGCCAAGTATTCTGTATCTCAGAGTGGCACTAAGTAGAAGCTAAGGGGAAAAGTATTTATGCAAGGCCTATCCAGACTGATCTGTCCCTTTGCAATCATTCCTTACAGTTTCTAAGACCTAGGAAGTCCTAATTTGGAGATTGCGTCTTAACTGTAATGTTTAATACCTAATGATGGACCTATCCTACATCAGTTTGTCTAATCCTCTTTTGAACATGGTTCAGTTGTCAGTCTCCACAACATCATGTGGCAATGAATTCCACAAAATAATTGCACACTATGTGAAAGAACTTCCTTTTGTTAGTTTTAAACCTGTTTTTTAATTCCTTGTGTGTTCCCTACTTCTGATATCATAAGAGATGGTAAATAGTAAATCCTATTTACTTTCTCCACACCATTCATTATTTTATAGACCTCTGTCCTATACTCCCATCAGCCATCTTTTTTTCTAAGCTAAAAAGTTCTAATTAGTCTCTTTTCATATGGAAGCCTCTCTACGCCCTGTGTCATCCTTGTTGCCTTTCTCTGCAGCTTTTTGAGATCCACTAATAATACAGAAAAACAGTATAATTTCTTGTGTGTCCCTTCTTTCTCTCATTGTTGCTATTTCTATATATCCAATTACATTTTAAGAAGGCATTTTAAAGACTTTTTGCAAGTAACTGAACAGATAGCACTTGTTAATGTTTGTGTTGAATGTACGCCTTTAAAATCTTTTCTTTTCTTCTTTTTTTTCTTCTTTATTTTACAATTCATACAACTTCAGCTCCACAAGAGTCATCGTGATGAGAAGTATGCAGGCGACAATTCTCAGTCAGGTTAGATATTGACATTTATCTCTATATACTTATATAGTTTCAAACATGTGGCCAGACCATTTGCTGGTATAAGCAGATCTTGTCTTTGTTCTGTCCATTTAATGGCCAAATGGGTCTATATCATCAAAGGAGCTGGCCCATGTTTGATGCTAGTGGACCACTGTACTGCTAGAACAACATGCCATTGCTTTTGCACAATCTTTAATGTTAGTCATTACCCTTTTGTTGCATTTATTTATGGAATAGTGCTGATAGTTAACATAACTGCCATAGTTATATTAATGGATTTGATCCCCAGCATGTGGAAACTGGCATTGTTCCACTGCCTGAACTGAATATATATAACAATGTATGCTGTTGTAAAATCTGGCATAATATCAGTCAGGTCAGGCTCATTGATTGGTTAGAATTAAAAACAGTAATTCAGTAGAACTTGTCAAAGTCTGACAGACTTGTTTAAAGACCTAGTAATTGCTTGTTCTTGATGTTGAGAATGAAATGGTGTGGAGCCCAGACCTGGAGTCAGGAGCTCAACCTGACTTCTCATTCTCTCTGACCTCTGCTTCTTTACTTAATATCCCTAAAATCTATAACTCCTAATGTCATATAGTTAAATGTTGTTTTGCTTTCATGTCAACTAATAATTAGGTTTTTTAAAGCCATAAATTAATTAAGGCTAGTTAACAATTTAACATTGCATAACTAATAATTTGAAGTAAATATTAAGACACTCATTTCATTGATGCATTGTAAAGATGTGAATTAGCTTGGCTGCTGGAAGTTGCCTTATGCCATCATCAGGACAGCCTTATGAGTCTCTTAACAGTTTGTTATGATGGACCACTGTATATTCATATATTTCAGTCATGGAAATGCATACAGAGACATAGCAATGGCAGTCATTTTCTGATAATACTTAAATAATACAGTATATGCAAGTTAGTTACATTCATGAGGCATTTTTTCCTACTTGCAAAAAGTCATCAAGTTCTCTGCCAAAAGTTGGTACAGTAGTTAGTGAGGGCATAGGTAGTACCTCAGAAAAGTGGGGGAAGGAAATAAAGTTGTGAGGCAGCTGCTTTTTGGAAATCATACGCTGTTAGGAAATACTGTATGTTTATTTCATCTGGGGAGGGAATGCCACAGGATCAGTTTTAGGCTTATTGTTATCTTATATTGATTTGCCTCATCTGCATTATTAATTAGATACAGTGTCTCTGTTCTACTTTAGTTAGTGTAGAGCTCATGTAATGTATCACAGTAGTGTGAGTCCTTTTCTACTCTAAAACATTGTGGGGTACAGCTGCGCATTCTTAAGCAGTTCATGATGCATTTCAGAACACAGTGTATTCCAGAAGTGGGCGAAATAATCCTTCTGTATCCCTCACTTGCCTTTTAAAAATGTATACGTATACATATACAACCACCATCCTATCATGTGATATCATGTAAGAATGATGATGATTCTAGGATATACAAAACTTGGGCTGATAGGGCCCTCATACAGTCATCTAGTCCAGCCCCCAGCTTAAGCCTTCCCAGCCAAGTGTCCATCTAACCTGCTCTTGAAAATTCCTGGAGCTCCAGAGTCCAACTCATAGTATAGTATCCAACTCAACTTCTCTATGTAGCCTGTTCCAATGCTTGACTACCCTCATAGTCAAAAGTTCTTCCAGACGTTCGACCTAAATTTCATCTGCTTCAGCTTGAGGCCATCGAATCCTGCTCCTAGTCTCATCCCCTATGACTATTCTCTCTATAATCACCTTTCAGGTATTTGAAGACTGATATCAAGTCCTCTCTCAGTCTTCTCTTCTCTGGACTAAATAACCCTAGTTCTTTCAGCCTTTCCTCATAAGTCTTGCTTCCCAAGCCTGTAATCATTTCTATTTGTCTCTGCTGAACTCTTTCCAATCTGTCCACATCTTTTTTGAAGTGTGGGGCCTAAATCTGGAGGCAGTACTCCAGGTGAGGCCTCTTCAATTCTGAAGTGAATGGAGGAGTCACTTCCCTTGATTTGCAAGTGACACTGCTGCTGATACAACCCAGCATGCTGCTGGCTTTTCTTGGCAACAAGGCTGATATTCAACTTATGATCTACTGCAATCCCCAGGTACTTCTCTGCGGTACTCAGCCCAGCCATTCATTTCCCAGTCTGTATTTGTGCATGAAATTATTCCATCCCAGGTGCAAGACTGTACTTTTCCAGGTTAATTTTTCTTCTTTGATTTTGGATCATTTCTCCAGTTCATCCAGGTCATTCTGGATTCTAACCTTACCCTTTGGAGTGTTTGTAACTGCCTAACTTGGTGTCATCCACAGATTCACTTGGCATGCACTGAATCCCATTAACTGAATCCCAGATGTTGAACAATACTGGCATAAAAACCTAACCCATAGCTGTAATTGCAACCACTTGTGAGAATGTAGGAGGGGAGCTCTAATCTAGAACACTACTTTCTCAGGAGGAAAAGCTATTTTGAGAGTATGAGCACATGAGCAAGTTATTGTACTGCTACTTTTCTAAGTCTCCATGAGCAAGGCTTTAGCCTGAAGTAACCTGGTTTGGTTTGCCAAAAAATGAACAGAAAACCACACATAGGTTTGATTGTCTTAACAGTGTAATTGCTAGGCCTGTGCGAATAGGGAAGTATTTGATTTGGATTTGGCCAATTTGGAGGACAGTGATTTGATTTAGAGATCTGGATCACTGTCTCAAATCAATTCAGCCAAACTGGCTTTGAAACATTCAGCACCTATTCGGAGAAATTCAGTGATTCAGCCATAGACTATAATGGGGAATCACTAAAATACCTATAACTTTGTCATTTTTTGGCAGATTTAGATGAAAACAGCAAGGATGCTAACTCCTTCTGAGAGCATGGGGGCTGCCAGGTTTCAAGGAGATAGGTGCAGGAGTTTCTGTGAAACTGCCCCTCAAGGTTCTGAAAGCAAAACTCGTGGGGGGGTGTTAAGGGGTGTAGGTTGTAGCCATGTTGGTCTAAGGACATAGGCAGACAAGGTGCTTTGGGTCAATCTGATATCTTTTATTAGACCAATTGAATAGTTGGAGAAATATATCTTAGCAAGCTTTCAGGTTTAAAAACCCTTCAACAGGCTGAGGAAACACCTGTAGTTGGTGTGTGCTCTTCCTGGATGGAAGGAGTAGTAAAGAAGCCAGAGGCTGGTATGCATGCAAGAAAGCCAGCCAGTGAAAATGGAAATGGAGGTGTGAGGGGGTGAGAGACAGACTGGGAGGTGGGGCAGGAAGGGGGATGTAGCAGGTAAAAGTGGAGAGGTACCTGGGGAGTCAGATGTCAGGCAGGTTATAGTGTGTCATAAATCTA